AGATAGAATCATCAAAAGAACTCATTATAACACAGATTGCCAATCAATGGGATCTCGATATTATGGCATGATCTTTTGACTCAGTAAACTAGACATAGAGAGCTGCATTTAGCACCAGAAAAAACGTAAATAAAATATAACACTATAAAACGCCAAGTGAAAGATTCTTGATGTAGCATCTTTATTCAATTGCATCCGCTTTATTCAAAAAACTGTCAGCATGTGTATAAGAAGCTCTCGTACACGAGTCAATTAAGCTTTGGTATAGAGAAAACATCCTTTTAAGGTTCAAGCAATTCAGACATGGTATACATGCAGCTAACGCTATAACGCGAAAATTCTATAAGCTGAAGGAATTGGTTTCAGATTTAAAATCATCGTTAAATAGGCACATCTTCTTCATGTGAAAACTGTTCACAGTTCCTTCAATAAATCCAAAAACAATTGAGTAAAGATGTTACATCAAGTACATTTTACTTGCCATTTTATGGTGTTATATTTTATTTATATTTTTTCTAGTGCCAAATGGAGCTCCCTATGTCTAGTTTACTGAGTCAAAAGATCATACTATAATATCGAGATCCCTTGTTTTCATCAACTACTAGAATCATAAGAAGTCATGACTGAAATTTTCAAGTGGATCGACCAAAGTTAACCCGAGTTTTTAACACCAGACTCAACACTAGGACTAAACGCTTGTCAAACATTTTCATTGTGAAGATCATAGCTTCATTAATTTAAAGTAATGTTTTTACAAAATTTTCGTCATAGATTGTTTTGATGTTGGACTTCCGAATGAGAAATCGCGCGAAGTTCAACGTTGGAAAATTGTTGAGATAAGATCTTCACAAGACGATAATACTGTTGAGCTAATAACTTCAGTAAACATCAACCAGTCGAGATCAGGTTAGCACCTATGATCAGAGTTCACTGAGTTCTATTTACACTAAATGTATGAGCACAAATTGTTGAGATTTAAATAGTTTTCATCTGCTAGCGGTACTCCTGATCACTAGTGTACATTGAATATTTTGAGCGGTCTGTGCATACTAGAAAGAAGTCCTATATGACTAATTCGACTGGGAATCACTTTCTAAGACCTTGTGTGGCAATTTGAGTTAGAAGAAAGCAATTTTCTCGGCGGGTGGAAGCTTTTTGTTCTCTTATCGATCCCTTCCTTAAAGAACTCATTTATTGCTTCTCGTAGTAGGAAACGAGAAGACATCAAAGTGGTAACAGCAGATTAGACCGCATCTTCACACTCGAATAAAAAAGTCAAACGAATTCTGAAGAGTTTCTAATGCGTTGGTCTCTTTGATTGATATTGCTTTGTCTGTATGTTTTTGTTTCCAATCGATCATTTGAAACTAACAAAAATTAAAAGCTAATGAAAAGTCTGTCAATCTCGTTCTATTAAATGTTAAAGTGGGTTAGAATGCTATTGCAAACGATTTTCCTATTTTTTGTTAAAATATTTTTTGCCTATGGGCTGCCACAATCGACATATTTTGTTCTAGTAATTATTTTTTTAATTTTTTTTCGTAGAAATGTTGGACTTTTTTGCACATTCTGCATAGAAACAAAGAAAAAACTTTTACATGTTAAGGTTGTGTCTTCACAATGATTGACATTGTTTGACCAATAAAACTCAAATACGAAACGTTATGATATTTCGTCGTTCTTAGATCGCATACGATCATTCATGAACGATTACTCGCTAAGATCACTACTTTTCACCGTTTTTATATCGTTTAAGAGCGTTTACCGGTGGATATTAATAAAACGAGCAAACATTACTGAACACCTCAATGAAACAAGGATCATAGATCTGATGATACCAGTTCACGGAGCATTCTAAGTTTTGTTCACGAACACTCACAAGCACTTTCTTTGGATATCTCTTTGAGGATGATATCAAGAATTGAAGGGAAAAAAGACCTAACAACACCTATAAAGCAAGGCTAACACCTACGAACACCGATTAATTGCCAATGAAAACCTATGAACACCTGTTATTTGAAGCTATCTCGGACTCAGAATAGACATGGGATAGTTCCATATCAGTTCCAATCTTGAGAACTGTTTAACAGTTCTTTTAACAAGAACTAATGTGTTCGAGTAGTTCTTTTAATTGGAACTTGGGTACTTCAAAAAAGTTTTGTCCCCATAAATAGAACAATTTTGTTCTGTTATTGGGAAAATTTTCCGAAAAATAGAACAATATTGTTTTGTTCTGAAAATTTCTTACCCAAAAACAGAATAATACTGCTCTATTTATGAAAGCAGCATTCTTCTAGGGAAACGCAATTCCTATCAAAAGAACTGTTGACATAGGTCAGTTCCTTTGGAAAGAATTGTTCAGAGAGTTCTTTTGAGCAGTTCATTTGAATTTTGTTTGAACTGTGAATTGTCCGAGGTCTAGCTCAGCGTGTGGGTGTATCAGTGGGCTACCTCTCATTTGCAAACATGAGAAAAATATACTTCAAGTAAATTAAAATTTTTAAAATTTCGTTTGATTTAAATTTGATACTTTCATTAATTTTTGCTAAAACAATTAAAATTTATATTTAACTTTTAAAAATTCGATTACTGTGAACGAATATTGAAAGTAAGTTGTTTTAAAAGATATTTTATACAAATTAATGTTTTTACTAAGTATGCTGCAATTTGTAGAGGATGTAAGGATTTGACCGGAGAAGGTTTTTAAATTTAGTACTGTTGCTATAATTTATAGAGGACGTTAGATTTTAGTTAAACTAAAGTTTTTCTTTGAATCTAGCTCCGAATAATTTCAATAGAAGCCAAAAATAGAATGTACTAGCTGGTTTTTGTGTACTCAAAAAGTGAGTATTGTGTACTCAAAAAGTGAGTACACTCTAGAATCGGTCAGTGTGTCCGTCCGGCCGGCTGTCCGTCCGTTAACACGATAACTTTTGAAAGGAGAGTCCAATCGCGATGAAATTTTCTACACAGTTCAGTCTTAACAATATCTCGGTCGAGTTCGAAGATGAGAAGGATTGGCCGAGCCCTTCCTGAGTTATTGCAAAAATACTCATTTTTCCCTATACCTTCCCTATGGAAAGATCGACCCATTCCCGCTTTCGTAAACAACTTTTCCCATCATAGTCAAATAAAACCCCAACTATTATATACCATTCGATAGAGAATTTCAAGAGCTACAAAATGGTATATAAAACATAAAGAAACAAGAAGGCTAGCTCGCCTATTGCAAAGATAAATAAACGGAAATTGGTTCTGTTTTTTGTCTGCACTCTAATCGATCCCCAATTCGAGCTCTATCTTCCGATCACAAAGATAATACTTCGAGATTTTCTCGGATGGAGAACTCGAATCTGTAATCCACTTGACTTGAAGCCCCATTGGTTGAGCACTGACCAATAGAAATCAAATTATAGGAAAGCGAGTTTTTTAGGGTAACTCAAGGCGAAGAGTCGAAATCTTCTCTGTATTCACTCCGAAATCCTATTGTTTGAGCAGTAGCCAATAGAATTCAAGTGTTTATAGAAAGGGTTTGCCAGGCTAATTTTTATATCCACACATTGTAGGATGACCAATTTGTCTCATTCACTTTTTGAAGTACACATAACTCTCGGATTTAAATCCGAGGTTTCCACATTTATTTTCTTTTTTTATTGATAAACTAATACTCATAGTGTATGAGCAAGGGTCGTTGATTTAGGCTAAACTAATCTACGTGTAAAAAGTCTTTGCACAACATCTTTATTCGATTTTCATCCACTCATAGATCGCAGGAGAGAATTAAAAGTAGTTAGCTAGAATGAGAATTTCATACTCTTTCTAACTATATACTCAGAATTTTTTTCTGACTTAAATCTGATTTATTGAGAAAAAATCCTTGGTGGGTACCAAAACTAACATTTATACAGAATTTCTCCTGTAGTGCATTTTTGTATTTTGTTTAGAACTACCTCAATCCTAGTTATAAGAAAGTTTTTTATATACCACTTTGTAGAAGGATGCTTTCTCTACAAAATCCCCGATTTGTTTCTTTTCCTACATACCATTGTACTTCAGCAAAATATGTTGCAGTTTACATATCAACAAAATCTGCAAAAAACGATTATTTCGAAAAATGCCGTTTCATGTAAAGAGTAGCATCTCGGAAAATGTTTGTAGCTTTTGAGTTTCATTTTATTGCAGCCGGAAGTTTTGTAGAACATTAAATACTCTACACAAACAACAAATAGAGATTATCTGATAATATCCTTGAGAGAGCTTACGCATAACAAGAAAACAGCTTAATGCAAACGATATTTTTTATTTATCCAGTTGTTTGCTTACAGCTAACTAACTACAAGTCTGGATAACGCTTTAAGAATATATTTAGAAAGAGCATCAAATTCTAGCTGTGAAACACTACTTTCAGTTCTCTTCAATTATATTCAAGTGTCCAAAAAATGAGCAAACATATTTATCAAGATCTGCGAAACTAATATTTTGTATAAACGTCATTTTTGGTATTCATCAAAGATTTATTCTCAATAAATCAGATTTAACCCCCTAGACGTTGTGAAGTGCGCGCGAACCTATCTGACAATTTTTCCTCAAGTAGTCCATCACTATTTGTAGTTTTGGGTCATTCCCTTTCTCTAATCTGTAATCCTTAGTTGGCTCATAATATTCTCACTAGAAATCAGAAATAGCTCTAAGGAGGTAGAACACCTATCGTGTTATAAGTATGATTTCTTTGTCTTGCTAAAGCTGCCATCTGTTAACTTTCAATTGTTTTTCCAAATAGATTTGTTATGATTCATCTGTACATTCATCCCTAATGTTAATGATTCATATTTTCTTTGCATAATGTGAAATTTGTGACTATTTTCAGATCAAAACCACATTTCTGCATATTGTTATTTTTGTCTATTTATCTCGATTACATGAATCTGTTACAACCCTTTTAAACATGTAAGAAAATTAAACTCGAAAACATACATTTTCACCTTTTCTGTTATTATAGCATGAACGCAACACATAAGTCAAATTTAAAATGAATTCGAGACATTCTATTAGTAGATGAAATGAAACTAATAATGATTTTAGTGATAATCAAGGTTCTGATTCCGATAGTGAATATGATTTTGTTGGTACTGAATCAGTCGATACATCTAATAATGAACATATATCAGAAGAATCTGATTTATCAAATTTTGATATTGAACAAGGTGATGTTGTTACAACTAGCCAACCAGAAACATTACAAAAGGATGGTATCATACGGTCTATGTACCCAAAGTTAGAAGAAAGTCGTATAGCTGCTGCTAATATAATGAAAAAAAAAGCTTGATCCTACTATTAAAATTCAGACAATTTTTAATACTTTTAAACTTTTCTTTACAAATGAAATTCTTGATCAAATTGTTCTCCATACAAATCTTTATGCTAAACGATATTTTGATCAAAAAATAAGATCACGACAAGATTCTAATAGCATAAGATTAGATTCACATTGTTGGAAACCAATTGATCGTATAGAATTAGAATCTTTTATTAGATTATTGATTCAATCTGGTGTGAATCGAAGTAATCATGAATTACTTTATAATCCATGAGATATTAGCCAAAGTCGTCCATTATATTGTGCCGCGGTGTCTCTTCAACGTTTCAAGCATCTTTTTCAATTTATTCGTTTTGATGATCGAGAAACTCGTGATAAATCTGATCGTCTTGGTCTCATTAGATATATATTTGAGCTTTTTGTCAAACAACTTCCTAAACATTTTGTACCCTGTGAAAATTTAACTGTTGATGAGCAATTAGTGCCCTTACGAGGTCGCTGTTGTCTTGTACAATATATACCAAACAAGCCGGCTAAATACGGACTCAAATTTTGGGTTTTGTCTGATGTAGATGGTCGATATGTATTATCAATTGATCTATTTATCGGAAAAAAGGGCAACCAAATTCAGAAGAATGTTGCAGCTAATGTTGTTCTTAACTTAGTTGATCATTTGCCGAACAACGTCAAACAAGGTCGATGCATTATATTTGATCGTTATTTTACAGACATCAAATTATCTGAAGCTTTTTTAGATCGAAAAATGACGTCTATTGAAGTTGTCGAACAGAGACGCTCGTTTTTACCTGATGAATTAAAAGTATGTCGTCAAAATTTATTTTCATCGTGATTTTATTGTTCAGGACTACATATGCTTTTGTTCTACCAAACAGAAGAGAAAAAAAAGTCGATCATCATTTTATCTTCGTTGCATAAACATCCTGAAGTTTTTGATGACGAGAACAAATTACCACGTACAGTTCATGACCACAATCAGACCAAATGTGGCGTTGATGCTGTTAATCAATGCATTGAGAATTACACAGTCAGACGAATAAATAGGCGATGACCAATGAATGCCTTGTACAATATAATAGATATTGCCGCAATCAATAGAATGACAAGCTAGTTATGTCAAAATTCTGAATGGAACAAAGAAAGAACGAATACTCGTCATATGTTTTTATCACAATTAAGTATGGCTTTGACCGATTCACAAAATCAATAACGTAGTCAGCAATCTCGTCTCAAGTCAAAAGTAAAACTTGCTCTGTTGTCTCTTGGCTATCATCTTCGATCAGAAAGCGTTGAAGATCTTAAAGTGAACGTCTATTTGAATCCACCAAAAAGAAGATGTTATTTGTGTCCATCAAAACTCGGAAGAAAAGCTCGGCAAACCGGTCACAATTGTGGACAGAACGTTTGTCTTTCTCATTCTAAAAGCATTACAATGATCACTTGCCAGACATGTCAAGAGAAGAATTTTAAAAAATTCTATATTCTATCAGGAAAATCAAACAACAACAACTTCATTGTGCCAGAAAAAGTACTGTTTTAGATTTTTTTAATCATGGAAAAAAGAAAAAGATAAAAATAAAGCTGTTGAAAAAGAGACAAACTCCTTCTCTTCATACCTAATACCAATTATGTATGTGGATATACGAGCATATTTCTATTTTTCTATAGACTGAGTGCATTGGATCGAGCACTTTTTCCAGCTATATTTCTGCATGTGTAATAAAATCAATGTCAGACAACTTTTTTCGATATTGTTTTCCTTTGTTTTGTCTTTATGAAATGTGACACACATATATTTATGAACAGAGTATTTAGAGGTTTAGAGTACATAAATGACTAGCTAAAGTAAAACAAAAAATATCGATTTATTACAGTTTTTTATGGGTGGATCCATCTGGACCCCACAACATCCATAAAGTTCCAAAATGACAACGTCTACGGATGGTTAATGTTCACGAGTGAGACATTGCATACTGAATCGTATTGAATTAGCATGAGCCAGAATGAAAATCTGTGTTCGTGATAGAAACATGGAGTGTACTTTGCCTGAAGTGAGCAAAGCAGCACAAGAATGAATATATGACTAGAATGTCAAGGAAACAAGTAGCTACATCAACCATATCAAATAATATGAGATAAAATTTAAAAGAAGAAACATTTGTATCGAAAAGGTTGCAACAAAAACTACATGATTACAGTGATCATGATTATAGTACTTATAGTACAAATGATGCTGACGATGGATGACTTTTTATCATCAATTTACGTTAAAATCTTTGAATATCTTTTTGATCCACTGATTTGAATTCACAACGCTTTTGGAATAAAAGCATCAATAAAATAGAGGTCGAAAAGAGTTTTCTAATATATCAATTCCTTGTCATAAAATAAAATGAACACATCGCTTTTGACGAAGTTCTCAATTGGAAAACAAACTCAAAAGATTATTGAATCATGTCATGAAGTAGAAGATGGCTAAAAATTTGCCCTAAGAGATAGATTATATTTGTTTGTTAACTGCTTAAATTTTGAAAAATTTTAATGAGTAGCATTCAATAAATTCTTTATATCTTTTGAAAGGAAATAGTTGTTTTCAAAGCGGATTAAGATCATCTTGAAAACTGATGCCATATCTCAGAAGAAAAGCAACTGGATTTTTTCGTGAATTCTATAAAGAGATGCAATAATGTCGACTCTAGATAGTGTTGTAAACCCAAGTAATTTCTCTTTTTCGGTTTAAAGTTATCCGAAAAATGCCCACGTCCATTTAACTCTGAAATAGATATTAGTTTGTTTTGTCTATTTATTCTGTTGACGATGTTATTCTATATGTGCAATTGATGGTCTGATGTGATTAGTATCGAATGGAGCAGAATAAATGACACCTCAATATTTTGGGAATATCTCTTTCAATTTCCATTGTCATCCTATATCGAATAATTCAAAGAGTTTAGATCGAGACTATTTGGCGGCCTATGATCTTTATCAATGAATGATGCAAAATTGTCCTGACACCATTAGTGCGTGAAATGATGAATATGTGGTTTTGCAACATTTTGTTGAGAGATCCAATAGTTTCCGCAGACCTTGTTGCCATATTTCAGTGCCCGAGGAAGCACCTCCTGTATATATCAAATATGGTTTATTGAACCGTCTTCAAAGATAATTAATGATGAGACTTCCTTGAAACCCATTCCTAAGCAAACCATAATATTTTGGAGACATTTCCGTGTCTGTACAATCTAAAGAAAAGGTATTCGGGAAAATCCTCAAAGGGTTTCCGATCTTGTTACTATCGGAATATTATATACTACTCCTGGAAACTCATTAAAGGTTTCCGAGGTTCATAAAACTAGAGAACGGAAACCCACAGTGGATTTCCGAGGTTCATACACTGCGCCCACAGCTGTCTATGCCGAAAAGCACGCGAACAAAAAAAGTATTCCGATCAACAAAAGCATTCTCAATTGACAAAACGACTTAAAAAACACTATACTGGAACCTCATACGACCAGACATTCACCAATCCATCACTTTCGCCCACTACGCCTAATATCGTTTTCTATTCCAACATTTTTCAATCACACCCTAAAGAAAAAAAATAAATATACGACTAAAACTCACACTGCTTAAAACAAATTTCATCTTAAGTTAAAACTTAATGTAAAAAATAAATTCGAGAATAACTTCGGCAGCACTCACATAAAAACTTTCCTCTCACTCACCATAAATGCACATATAACAGTAAGACGTACTTTCCATAGAACTCACGGATCGATTGTCATTTCGCTCAACTTAAATAAAAACGAATACTATACAATCATAAAAAAAGACTTACCGATGGACTCTGAATAGAATGGTCCCCAAAAAGCAAAAGAAATACATGTTAGGCCTTTACTCCTTTTATTTTATTATTCTCACCCTTTCTTTAAAAAACAAAACAAGTGAATGATGAAAAACAAAAAAGCAACAAAGAATGTCTTTCTCTCTCTTTCTCTCTTCTTCCATGATATACCTCGTTGTTTATTTTCAGAACAAAGAGATATCATGGAGCGACGAGAAGGAATGCCATTAACGAGAGCTGTAATATTATAGAGAGAGCCCTCTTATGTCAGGAGATGTCTCTCCTGACATAACACCTCCCCCGGTGAGAGAAGAGTTGAAGTAGAACAAAAGATACAATATGAAAAATGGTTTGAATCACACACAGAAAAAAAGAACCAAAAGAAAGAAAAAACCGAAGTTCGAATGATGAAGATAGACAAAAGAAAAGTTTGTTAATTAGAAGTGGAATATCAGATGATTACCAATAGAAAAGCAAATATTAAAGGTGTTGCAAGTACAATGAAATAGAAAGCATTAATAGATGCAGAGAAATCAAACGAGAGAAAATGTTTATGATACGATCGGGTTTGGTGGTACCAGTGAAGATGTGTGTGGTTCACGTGGTGGTGAAAGTAATAACGATGGATATTGTGGTAAAGATTGATGTAAAAACGAATTAGGTATATGAGCATAAGGTGGCTGATAAGGTGGTGTTAAAATGGAAGAGACATGCGCTGGAAAAGGTGGTGATGCTTGTTGCTGTTGACTGGCTAGTTTCAGTGTCAGTCGGCAACGTTTATAAACGTAAATAAGAACAGCGGCGAGTACCAGACCCCCCACAACGAGTAACAGCAAGAATACATAATGTGTCCAGTTGCTACTATCAAAGCGTTGATCGCAAGAGACCACCGTTTTGCTATCAAGGAGGGCATTGATTGAATGAGTCAGGATAAACCAAACCCAAATGAATAGAACCGCCATGGTAGAAAAGAAATGTTAACGAATAATTTGAAAGTAACGTGTAAGAGTATATGCAGTGTATATAGGATAATAAGAAAGTAACAAAAAATATCGATGAAAAAAATATAAAAACTTGTTCGAATAGTAACGATGATAAAATTCAGATGGGGAAAATATTCGAATGTAAATACAAAAGACGACATGTGAATATGTAATGATTCTGGCGATGTGTTAGCGTAGGAAGAGAAAATTTCACCAGGGTATGACTTGATTCCGAGAATATACACGTTTAATATTGTGCGAATGGACCTGAAATCGTTGAAAATTTTCATCTTCAACAATAAAAGACACCGGTGAAATAAGTTGAATGATTCGAACAGGACCTGTATAACGAGCATCGAGTTTATTACGGCCCACGAAAATTTTCATCCACACTAGATCACCTGGTAAAAAAATTGGGTGTGATCTATTTTTATCAAAACGAAGTTTCGATAGTTGCTGTTGATGTAGAACATTGTTTTTCGCTTGTTTTAACACCGTATTTCTATATTGCATTAATTGTGTCCAATAATCATGTGGTTTAGTAAATTCGAAAGTAGTTGCAGGAGGCTGAAATGGATGACGTGGTTGTCGTCCAAATGCAAGTTGATAAGGTGTAAATCCAGTCGAACTATGTATACCATTATTATATGCATAAACGATAGATGGTAAAAAAGTGTCCCAATTGTCGTGTTCTGTATTACAAAATTTAGCGAGTTGTGTAGCAAATGTTGCATTCCATCGTTCAGTTTGTCCATTTGTTTGTGGATGATATGGTGTTGAAAAAACATGAGCACAACCCACTAATTTTGATATAGCTTGTAATAATTCATTCTTGAAGTGTGTACCTTGATCAGTGATTAATATATCTGGTGGACCATGAACTAGAATAATGTGTTCCATTAAGATTCGAGCAGTATCTTGAGCTGTATTGGTAGGTGATGCTGTAGAAAAAACATAACCGGAAAGACGATCAGTTACAACGAGAACATATCGATTTCCAGAAAG